GCAAATGAAGAATTTTGTCCTTCTTACCCAAAATTCAATACTCCTGAAATGAAGTCAAAGTTGCAGAGATTTTGTGAGTCACTGGAGGAAAATTGTGCGGTCCCGCAAGTAGGATTTACTAAAGATGGAATTATGAAAGCATGTAAACGATTATTGTTGTGACCAACGGCGCTACAGAAAATCCAAGAACAACAAGGTATTTTGCATGACAAGCTTAGGTCTACTTTGAATCTCCCAGCATGACATTAGAGCTTAGTATATAAATGTCACTCAGTAAGATTGTACAATAGATAATCCGGGTACGCATTGAAAGATTATGTCATTACAGAGACAACCGATACACGGCAAAGGTCATTGCATGATGCTTAATGATTGGTTCCTTTGCTACGTTGCGTCAGTAAGTAAATAATACGCTCGGCGGAAAATTCAAATCAGTATTCGATTTGTGGCGCTCTTCGCGATCGAGTGAAGAGCGCCGGTCATAGCTTTCACGGTATGTTGGACCAGGTATTCGGGTCGATATTGCCCCAGGGCAAGAAATGGTTCATCATTCCTAATAACTTGATGGTGAAAGGAAGGAAGGAAGATTTTCTCTCCTCGGATGTATGCAAGAGCTTCCCGGGAGAAATCCTCGAAGTCCCGCTTCAAAGCTTGGTTTACAGAAATGGCGCCAGAATAATCACTAAACGAAAGAAAGACACTGTGGTTGTAGCTTCACCGTTTGGACTTATAGCAAGAACTCTAAGACGAAAAAGAATGCAAGAGGATGTGTTTATAAAATCAAGAGAATTCTTTAAGGTGAAAGAAATCATAAACTCGATTGATCTGGACATTTTGGCGGGAAGTAGCGAAGAAGGCCTAATTGATGATATTCACGTAAACAATGGCCAAATTCAGTCTCCTGGCTCGTGTTCTATCCCCAGATCTTCTCCACTGACCCCTCCGACGACTCCTTCGACTTCACCTGAGCCAAAACCTGATGAATCCATGCCGTGTAGTTGTTTCAGCATCTCGTCTCGTTCGCAGAAGCTGAGTGATTTGCTTAATGGCTYCTTCGGTCCCAGAATAACAGCTAAACGGGCAGCTACTCTTTCGAAGGCACTGATTAAAGATCTGAAAGAGATCGTCCTAAATGAAACAGCTTTGGGAAATGTGCTGKCCAGCGCTGTTCTTTATTGTGATGACCCGGAAAAAGATTTTGTCCYAGAAGCTGTTTCGAATGCAATGCAGAAAATCTCCGAAAAGAAAGGCCCACTTGTAGCCCTAAAGTCGCTGATAAATGAAGATCAGTACAATTCATTTATTCGCCATTTTACCGTACCACACTGGCAACAGCTCTATGTGAAACTCTCCACAAAACTGCCTGATGCATCATGGCAGACCGTGTTGAACTTTTTAAATATTGGTCGTACAAAGGTAAGTTGAGACCTTTGAATTAATACTTACTTATTTATATTTGAGTGTACGTGGAATTTTTGTTTTTCACTGTTTGCGCTTTGTTTTAACTTATTCATCTCAGATACTTATTGACATATCAAAATTAAAATCAAAGCTCTAAAGCTTTTATCCCTTCTGAATTTTTCTGCTTTTAATGCATTGATAGGTTGAAATTCATTGTTTTAAATGGTTAATCTTAGACTAAATTTTGCAATTCTCTTTTACAAAATATATGACAGGCAAATAATCTTTTTTTTTTTTTGCCTTTTCAAAGTATTAATGTTGTGAATATATTTTGATGTAGAAAAATTCTGATGTTGGGCTTATCCTAACCAAAAATGAAATAAAAGCTCAGAGAGAAATGGCCTTTGCAGTAACCCGAAAGCTGTTCAGTATTGAGAAACTACCTACAGAATTGAGAGGTTATAGTGTCAATTTGGGAATGGTGCTTGTTTGGGCCATCAGGGAATCCAAACTCCACAATGGAATCCCTGAGAACACTTCTACATTAGAATTCAATATAAAGCTTGATGGTCGTCCACTTGCAGGTTTGTATATAATTATTATGATTGTTTGATATGGCTTGGGTTTCTGCAAAAAGGCAGTAATCCTGGACAATAGTATATTACATAAGGATCAAAGACCTTTTTATAATGAACTTCAACAAAAACTTTATCAACTTAAGAAAAAAAATATTCAATTAACCTATTGTTTGTGGCCCCATCTAGGCAGAAACCAAGTCTCTGTTGGTGTTGTCCCGATAGACATGACAACAGGTAGTTCTTGTCAAAGTGCACTTTCAGTGTATCCCTTGGCAATTGCAAATTGCGAGGAAAAAAGGTGACTATATAGTTAAAACTATAACATGATCATGATACAGTAAGTGGTAATCATAGCAGAAAGTTTCTAGAATTGATAATATCATAATAATCAAGCTCCTTATTTGTGGTTCACATGTGCAATAATTAAACACAAATCAAGACTTGAAGGTTTAGCATTGAAGTACTAGGATTACTTTAGTATTTTTGGGAACTTTGCCCTTCTGTTTCATTCAACAATATTCAAAATATAATTATGTCACTTTTTATTCACAGGGAGCAGGTCAGGAGTTTAGTGGGTAGATTGAATGAAGAAAAGAAAGCTATAAAGGATGGAAATGGTATTGAAGTTGATGGAAAGCGATACTTTATCAAATTCAAAGGTAAGTGAATAATATCATATGTGCAATGATTTTAACTGAAGCTAGATCATTTTTCACAATCCCCTTCCAAAAGCTGCATTTTACTATGGTTTTATACAAATCAGTTGTTTAACTGAAATGTGTAGTTCACATACTAATCCTAAATAGGTTAAAAGGGTGGTTTATGATAGCTTTTATTTGAATTGTTCTTATTTAATTCTGTAGTTGCGTGACTTTTAGTTTTACAAATTTGGAATAATTTAAGACTAAAAAGA